AGCATGTGTCTCTGTAGAACCCTATTCGCCGCGCACACAATACACATAATGCGAGAAAATTGAGAATCTGATACGATTCGATACAATTGTGCAATTTGTTCTTCCATCGGCATCTGTTTAATAATAAAATGACAATCGAATTGGGATGTTCCTTTCGGAATTCAATTGGCTATTTCCTCTCATCCTCAAATTGTAACATGTTATAGACTTTGGGAAATATCTATAAATAATAAAAATAATAATAATAATAAATGGTAGTAGTCCATGGTGTGAGAGCACGACAAATCAATGTTTCCCTTTCTTTTACCTTTTTTCTTTATACACTTTTATAAATTTTCCCTTCTATACTTCTGCTTCCATGTTTCCTGGTTCTGTGCTCTGGCTTTCAGTTCCCTGTATTTTTTTGCGATAATCGTCAACCATCTGCATTCTTCTTCCCAATCTTTGCAGTTATTCTACTTTACCTTCAACGACGTTATGTAGAAAGTACTCTTTTTGAAGAATTGGTCCAATCCAATTTCCTTTTCATTTAATGATCGTGTAAATATTTAATAATTTTAATAATATAACATAACTAGAAGAGTTACAAAAAAGAAGTTTTGTGGCAAAAATTATAATTCCGCGATTAAAACAAAGCAAACTTTTAAGTTTAGTTATTTAAGTAACTATTGCAATTTGGTTTTCTATGACAATTTTCTTCCCTTACGTTTATTATAACAGAAAAAGCATCATATTTCATCATTTTCTTAACGTACGGTTGAGCAACCGGTCCTTAAACTCTAAACGCATTCTAACGACATTTCCTCTGAAGGAAAACACATAGATATACTGCATAGAGAATTTTTTTTACAATACATTTAACACGCATTCCTTTCCACATTGACAAATTCCTAGCAGAAATGCATTCCTAACAAAAGAAATTTATTTTTCATCTTTTATCTATCTGAAATAAGATTGTGAAAGAAATCAGTGAGTCCAATTGCACTCTCACTTACACTAAACAAGCTAGCCTCATAATGAGGAGCGTAGCTGATACCAAATCTTGCACCCATGTATTTTGGTGAGTAGTAAGCTACTCTAAATGGCAATGTGGTCATAACACCTTTGTTATATTTGCCTGCCATGCGGAAAGAGAGTTTTTCACTTTCACTTGAGAAGCTTTCTGTATAAAGACGTGGAGTTACATAGAATGGAAAGCTTGCAGCACTTCCCTCTAAGTTAACTTTTCTGTACCAGTCGCTATCTGGACCTCCATCAACAGTTGCAATTCTTGTTGCATCAAGTCTCATAAGAGCTTCAGGACCAAATTGGTAACCGAGTTTCACATCACCATACTCTGAATTTATAAACACATGTGCACTTCTGCCTCTTGCAGCATTAATACCTTGCGATGTACCCTTCCTTCTGTAACTGGAACATGGAATTGCACATCAGCACCATAAAGAAGACCAAGCTCTTCATTTTTATTTTCTGCTCTCAAGTGCAATATTGCATCTGCAATCATACCAGTGTCATTGCTATAATCACCAAGGTTTCCTATCCCTCTTGGAAAGATTGGATTTGCTCCCTTTATTGCATTATCAGTAGCACTATATAATCTACAGCTTTGCCAGCCATAATATGATAGCGCTTATACTCATCACCACTTGGACCGACTTTACCATAACCTTGAGCATCAACAACACCACCAAAAGTTATTCTCAAGCCATCTTTTTCTTGACTAGCACTCAGAATATCCACACCGTCAGATGAAACAACAGGGTTTGCCTTCTCTACACTTTTGTTAACTGTTTTTACGCTTCTCGTTTTATCACTAACTTCAGCTTTATTTACGAGCCTTAGCTTTAGCTTCTTCTTTCAAAGCTTTATTTTTTTCTTTGAGAGCTTGCGCTTCTTTTCTTTTTGCCTCTTTCTCACTTGCAAGCTTCGCTTTTTTCTCACTTGCTAATCTAGCCTCTTCTTTTTTCTTCTGCTCAGCTGCTAGCTTCATATCCTCTTTTCTTTTCAGATCATCAGCTTTCTTTTTAAGCTCGTCAGCTTTTTTTCTTGGATCAGCATTGCATATTCTGTCCATTTTCTCTTTCAGCTTTGGATTTGCTGTTTTCATTACTTCCATTTTTGCAGAAGTTTTTGTGTTCTCTTGCTTTTCTACTTCCCTAACACTTTCAGTAGAAAAATCAGCTGCAAAGCTGCTGAAAGAGTAAATGGTTAATAAAGAAGCTAGAGCAGTTCTAGTGTAGGTAGATTTTTTCATTGAAGTGCCCCCAAAAAAATTTCGAAATCATTATATAAAAAATGTTGAATGTTCAACTTACAGCAATCTTATAGCGAAAGTAGAAGTAAAATGCAATACCTTAAAAGCATCTTTTTTAATAAATCATTATGTTTGGCATACACGTTAACCAAAACTTAGTTGTCAATTAGATCATCTTATGGATAGTCTATTGACTTGCATTCTAGCAAAGTGCTACACTTAAGGCCCGATGGGTAATTAGCTCAGCTGGTAGAGCACTTGCTTGACGTGCAAGCGGTCGCTGGTTCGAACCCAGTGTTACCCACTATTTAACATAATCTCTTAATATTAACCTATGTTTTCTCAAAAGGATAGAGCATTTTTGCGTATCCATTCAGCCGGGCGGTAAAATAAAGAGTAGACAAGGAATGCTAAAAAGGTAAACTAGAGTGGCTGTGAGGTAATATGGTTGATCTTTTAGAATTTTGCGAAAGTTTAAAGCAGACTATAGAAAAGTTAGAAACAAAAATAGAAGAGCTTAAAGCAGAAAATAAAGCGCTAAGGATCGAAAACGCTGAGTTAAAAGAAAGGCTTGGCTTAAATTCAAAAAATTCATCTATACCAAGCTCCAAAGAATTATATAAGATGAGGGAAAATAAGCCAAAAAGTGACAGGAAAGTAGGAGCACAGGTTGGACATAAAGGCAGTTACCGCCCTAAAATGGAGGCAGATGAGATGGTAAAAATAGAACTGCCCAATACGTGTGAGTGCGGAGGAGAAATTGCGGTATCAAAAGATCCGTATACTCATCAAAAGGTCGATTTGCCGGAAATCAAGCCGTATGTAGTTGAATATTAACTAGAGCATGGACGTTGCAAAAGATGTGGAAAAAGAAAAAGTAGCAAGCTACAAGAAGGAGTAACTGCGGACACATTTGGTCCAAGAGTTAAGTCAGTAATTACAGCATTAAGTGGATTTTACAAGAATTCGAAAAAAGAAGTGGCAAATATTATAAAGGACATTTTCAACCTGGATATCAGCGTCGGTAGTGTATCAAATAGCGAGGCTAGAGTGGCAGAAAAATGCCAAGAAGCATATGAGCAAATTGAGGAAGAGGTAAGCAAGAGCAAAATTTTACATATCGATGAAACTAGCCATTACAACAAAGGTAAACAGGGCTGGTGCTGGATGTTTGCGAGCAAAATAGGAAGTGTGATCAAATTGACAGAGTCAAGAGGGATGAAAGTCCTGGAAAATAGTAAATTTGGAAAGAATAACAACCTAGTAGTGACCGACAGATATGCAGCTTACAACTACTTTTCCAGCAAGAAAAGGCAGGTCTGTTGGGCACATTTAGCAAGAGATTTTGAAAGGTTGTCTCATAGTTGGAATAGCGAAGTGAAAGTTTTGGGGTATTATTTAAGGAATGTTGCTACTGAATTATTTGCATTGAAAAAAGCTCTGTTAAAGGATGAAATAGACACATTAAGGTTCATAAGAAGAGCAAGAAAATTACGCAAGCGAACGAGATATTACTTAAAGAATATATCAAATTTACCCGAGGCAATTGGAGCGTCTCGAGTAGCAAAAAATATCATGAAATCGGATCTGATGATGTGGAAATTTTTGGACGATCCAGAAAATATTCCACTGACAAACAACTATGCTGAGCGACAGATTCGGCATTACGTTGTTTACCGAAAAGTTTCATATTTTACACAATCGAAACGGGGAAATATGTTTCTTGAGAGGATAATTTCATTGTACTTGACTTGGAGGCAAAAGAAGTTAAATCCTTTTCAAAACCTACTGGCTATTGCTTCTTAAGCCATACACCTGAATGGATACTACCGACGCTGATATCCAGGTTGAAAATGTCCTTTATAATATTTGCCACTTCTTTTTTCGAATTCTTGTAAAATCCACTTAATGCTGCAATTACTGACTTAACTCTTGGACCAAATGTGTCCGCAGTTACTCCTTCTTGTAGCTTGCTACTTTTTCTTTTTCCACATCTTTTGCAACGTCCATGCTCTAGTTAATATTCAACTACATACGGCTTGATTTCCGGCAAATCGACCTTTTGATGAGTATACGGATCTTTTGATACCGCAATTTCTCCTCCGCACTCACACGTATTGGGCAGTTCTATTTTTACCATCTCATCTGCCTCCATTTTAGGGCGGTAACTGCCTTTATGTCCAACCTGTGCTCCTACTTTCCTGTCACTTTTTGGCTTATTTTCCCTCATCTTATATAATTCTTTGGAGCTTGGTATAGATGAATTTTTTGAATTTAAGCCAAGCCTTTCTTTTAACTCAGCGTTTTCGATCCTTAGCGCTTTATTTTCTGCTTTAAGCTCTTCTATTTTTGTTTCTAACTTTTCTATAGTCTGCTTTAAACTTTCGCAAAATTCTAAAAGATCAACCATATTACCTCACAGCCACTCTAGTTTACCTTTTTAGCATTCCTTGTCTACTCTTTATTTTACCGCCCGGCTGAATGGATACTAAGACAGCTTGCATTTAAAGATCAGGCTTTTGTCGAGTATTCCAGTATTCAGACTATCAATAAGCGATACCCGCTAGATCATCCTATAAGAAAGCACGACATCACTAAGAATATAGAAAACATTTTGCATAATTTCATAGCAAATGAAAACAGTGAATCTGCTATAAAAGAATTGCTTAGCTTGGAAGTTCCTTCAGACACTCCAGGCATTATCACTAAAACTATAGCAAAATTGGTCAAGTTTCACTAAACTTTTTTAACCAGTAGAGGAGGCAACTTGACCATCTCTTAATTGATAATTGTTTTCTATAGCCAAATCTCTGGTTAAGAACAGTGAACCGTAAATTAGTATAGTTTTTATATTTTGAGTAGATGCTTTTAATATGTGATTTAATATTGCATCGCTGATTGATTCGCACTCAATTGCTTCTATTCCTATGTTATTAGCTCCTTTTTTGATCAAATCTGTGCTTGTTGCTTTGGGTTCTGATTTTACGCAAACTGCACATAACAACTTTGTATATGGCTTTAAATATGTCAAAAACTCCTCTACATTTCTATTGCGTGTAACGCCGAAAATCACATAGATACCTTCAGCAAAGTTATCCTTTATCCATTCAGACAATACTCTTGCGCCATCGCTGTTGTGTGCACCATCTAAAAATAATTGCCAATCTTTTGGCAGCAAAGAAACTAATCTCCCTTCTTTTATGTGCTCTAACCGTGCTGGCCAATAGGCATTTTGCAAACCCGAAGCAATATCTTCCTCTCCAATATTAAATCCATGTTTGCCACTCAAAATACTACATGCTGCAATGGCATTTCCTGCATTTATTACTTGATGACCACCCCTTAATGCTGGCAAAGGAAACTCTATTGATTGAATAGCTGATTGAAAAAACATTTTACCATTTTGTTGCGTGCAATTCCACTCATAACCACCTCTATATAAAGGAGATTTTGCCCCTATTGCGTGATGCTCCAGCGTATTCATCACAGACTTGTTTTGTGGTGCTATTACGCAAGAAACATTAGGCTTCATTATTCCAGCTTTTTCTGTTGCTATAATTTCCATAGTAGGACCAAGATATTCGGTGTGATCAAGCCCTATAGACGTAATTATTGTTAAAATTGGATTATCTATCACATTTGTTGCGTCAAGCCTTCCACCCATACCCACCTCAATTAAGGCAATGTCTGCCTCATGGCGGGAAAAAGCTAAAAAGGCCGCAACTGTTGCAGCTTCAAATAAAGTGATATGCTGCTCTGCAACAACCGCACGACATTCTTCTAGTAAATTATATAACTCATTATCATCAATGTAATTACCTGCAATAACTATCCTTTCATTAAAATGAATTAAATGTGGAGAGGTGTATGTATGAACACTATATCCTGCTGCTTGCATTATATATCTTATAAACGATAGCGTTGACCCCTTTCCATTGGTACCAGCTATGTAAATTGCCTGTGATATTTTCTTCTCAGGATTATCGAGCCCATTTAAAAAGCTTTTCATGCGACTCAGAGAAAAGTCACCAGGCCTTTTACCAAGTGGTTTAGGCCAATGCGGCATATATATCATAGACTATTGCTACATTTCAGCTCTTCTATTACATTTGTAATACTATGCATATCAATCTTTTCGTTAAATTGAGAGCGTTGATTAATAGCAATGCTTATACCACTCATCACAACATCACTTATCGAGAAGGAGTTACCATCTTTAGTAATTTTAAAGTCAACATTTGTAAACTCTTCATTGCCATAAGAAAATCTCGTATTGACTAAGCAAGTGTTATCGTCAACTACTCTTGTACTCATCACAGTCATTTCACTATCATTCATATACTTATATATAATTTTAGTACATAAGCGCGTTAGATATATTTCATATTCTCTTAAAAAGATTGCTTTTTCTCTCTTTGGAGCCATAGTCCAATGCTTTCCCATAACAAACCTGGATATTCCTTTAAGATCAACATGATCATGAATCATTTCCTGGAGCTTTGAATATATGTACTTCCGATCCTTATTTCCCTTTGCAAATATGTTATCTACTTGCTGCTTCATAGTTTGTATGAAAATTTTATGATCTGCGCAATGAGTGTATGTATTTGATGAAACCGTAATGCAGAAAAAGAGCACTAAAACTTTGATAATATTCATAAAACTGTAATATTTAAAAAATATTAGCCCTTATAAAGCTTAAAGGAAGCAGGGTTTGCAAGCAAACAAAATTTTGCTTGATTTGGCAGATCTGCCACGGATTAGTAAAGAATAAGTGTTTACTGCTTATTCCTCCAACACCAGCTATTGATAAAATCGCAACCATAATCAATGAGCATCCCACTTTACGGTGCTTAAATCTATACCATCTTGCACCATTTCCCAAAGCGGACTCATTTCTCTCAGTCGACCAACATTTTTAGCCACAAGGCTCGACGCGTATTCCACTTCTTCTTTAGTGGTAAATCGACCAAGTCCAAATCTAATTGAAGAGTGCTCAAGATCATGGCCATTATTCAGTGATCTTATAACATAAGAAGGCTCAAGTGATGCAGACGTGCATGCAGAACCAGAACTTACTGCTAAATCCTTTATTGCCATAATAAGTGACTCACCTTCAATGTAAGGAAAACTTAAGTTCAAATTGCCAGGTATTCTATTCTCATAATCACCATTTAATACAACATCAGGAATGCCTCTTTTTACTCTTTGGTATAAAATATCTCTCAATCCTTCCAGTCTAATTTCTTCCTCTTGCATTTCTTCTTTAGCGATACGTGCAGCTTCCCCAAAACCAACTGCAAGGGGAGTTTGGAACTGTGCCAGAGCGCATACCCCTTTCCTGGCCACCACCACTAATAAGTGGCGTCAATCTTACACGTGGATTCTTTCTACGAACATATAATGCACCTATTCCCATAGGACCATAATCTTATGGCTAGAAATGCTCATTAAATCAATGTTTAACTCATTTACATCAATTGGAATTTTCCCAAAGGCTTGAGCAGCATCAGTGTGAAAAATATGTTATGTTTTTCTGCATATCTCACCTATCTCCTTCAAAGGCTGGATTACCCCATTTCATTATTTACCATCATTACTGAGACTAGAATTGTTTTTTCAGTTATTGCTTCCTCGAGTTTTGACAAATCTAATTCCGTTTTTGCTTAACAGGCAGATATGTAGCTTTAAAAACCTTCATTTTCCAGATGTCGGCAGGAATCAAGAACACATTTATGTTCAGTGCAAA